GCCTGGCCAGATCAGGGTTTCTAAGTCGCCATGTTTGAGGAGCTCCTGCAGTGACAGCAGAAAAGCTGCCCTCCCATCCACTGTCACCCTGTTCGGGGCAAGGGCCCTAGCAAGCACTAGCCAGAGATAAATCCAAACCTCTAGGAAACCCAGTAGGCAATCAGACCTTTCAGAGGAGCCAGGCTGGATGCAGGCCAGCCACAGGACCAAGGCACTGTGATGGCTCAGGTGAGCTCTGTCATGGGAACAGTGAGGAGACCTGCAGTCAGAATTGGCAGTGACCCTGGCCACCAATGACAGCCTGGAGCTCAGTAGGTCAGGGTCAGCCCAGAGCAAACAGACAGGCCCAGGGAGGGCACTTGTTTCCATTGGCAGTGGAGGAGACCAGAGAGGGCACAGAGACCAGAAAATCTAGCAATGGTTTTTCCAGCACAGGGCAGGAGCTCCTGAACTAAAAGACAGAAGTCAGGGTGTCAAATCCTAGCACCAACATGTTCTGGTGAGTAACCCCAAATATTTGTCCTTGGAGTTTGAGACCAGCCTGACCAATATGGTGAAACCCCATCTCTACTAAAATATAAAAATTAGCTGGGCATGGTGGCAGGTGCCTGTAATCCCAGCTACTCGAGAGGCTGAAGCAAAAGAATCACCTGAACCTGGGAGGTGGAGATTGCAGTGAGCCGAGATCACACCATTGCACTCCAGCCTGGGAGACAGAGTAAGACTCTGTCTCAGAAAAAAAAAAAAAAAAAAAAAAAAAAGTCCTCATTGTGCCCAAGTTTCTTGATTTAAAAAATAGAAGTAAGAGACCGACTGCACAGGATTACTGTGAGAAGTGAATGAGATAATATTTAATAAAATGCCAATGCAGGCATTATCTGGTACATGATAGGTGCTCTCTAAATGTGTCTTTTTCTCGTAAGACTCTACTGGAAGTCTCAAGGGCTCCATGCCCCAAACTAAATACAATGGCAGATGTGGATTTGTTTTGCTTCTCTTCTTTTCTTTGTTAGTTAGAGTACCTAAAAGTTGGTTCTTCAGTATGTGAGAGTTCAATTTCAATGTTATTCCCCTCCCCCCACATCCTTCACACCTTTCTAATCTTCCTATAGGCATTGTTAAATACACTTCTCCAAGAAACAGTAGATTACATACTTGAAAATATTATACTATTCGATGAAGGGCATACCCACCTCTGCCACAGTCACCACCACTCCCTGTTGTCTCACTCATGGCCCTATCTGCACAGAGGTGAAGAGCAACAGCACATACAGCCCACCCCAACCCTATCATGGCATCAGACCGCCATGATTCCATGATGGCTATCCTACTACTGAGGTTAAATACAGTTCCTTGGCAGCAGAGTCTAACTCAGCAGAGCAGCTGTAAGTTCTCAGGTGGCATCAGGCAAGTGGTAGCCTTGGCAAGATGGGGAGGGAAAATGGAAGTACATCTGGAGCCTTCTGGGTATGGCCAATACAGGTAGCAAGTCAGCATCAGCTCAGTTTCCAAAGCTCCACTGTATCTTAGAAGAGAAACAATTACTCAAGAAAATCAAGGCCTGTGAGCCACTCTTCATTTCCCTCCTTAAGAACACAGAGGGGGAAATAATGCTTGAAAGCAGATCTGATTTTCAAGCTTTCACTCTGCTTTTGCTGAGATGACTTAAGCTATCCAAACCTCAAAAGCCTCTAGCCTCCATGAATTCCAAATTACCTTGGCAGCAGTGGGGAGACCAGTGACCAAGTTTCCTCTTCGAATTCCTTTAGCTTTATTGGTACGGTTGGAAGGAGTCAAGGCAGAGCACACCTAGACAGCAACTGCATTTCAAATTCCCAGGCCTCCTTCAGCCTGTGGCCTCAGCTCACTGTGATGTAGCTGAATGGGCCTTGGGGGTTTTATCCGTATGAAACATGCTGTGTTTGAGAGTTGACAGCTTGCTGAGCCATTGCAGAGGGCAGGAAGATCAGGAAGGAAAACCGTGTTCATGGAGGAGTCTCCCTGGAAGCTCTCAGGGGCTAGAGATGACATCCAAAATATTTAACAACAACAAAGGAAGGCAAGAGAGGACCACCAAATCAAAATGATTGCCCCACCAGTCCAGACCCCAGTGTGTTGCATCAACAGCCACATGGAGAAAGTAATGTTATTATCCACATTTTACAGTTTTGAAAACCTAACACAGAATTCATGAACAGCTCTACAAGCTTCCATCTGGTCTGCTGAGAGGCCTGTCCACTGCCTCTGGGAAGACAGAATGAGGCCAGTGAACAGCTGTAAAATATCTTTTAGAAGAAGGACATCTGGTCTAGTCCTGGAATCACATAAGCTTCCTGGTTAAACTCTGAGGTCATGGGGTTTATTATATTTACACAAAGAGCCATATTTTCACCAGATTCACAATGCCGTCGAATTGGAGGTTAGGAGTTCAGAAATCACAGTGAGGTTTCTGCAGGTTAGTGACAGAACTGAGTCTAGAACCCAGGCCTCTGGTTCCCACTCTGAGAACTTTCAGGACACAGATGCACCCTTGTTCAGGCCCTTCTGATGTCTGTAGCATTGCATGGCTTGCCAAGCTCAGCTTTGCCACAGGTGAAAACAGGTGCAGCGGCATCTCAGCTCTAGACTCACGTTTCTTGATTGGAAATTATAATCAAGTGATAGACTTGATCCCAGAAGCTCCTATGAAGATTCAAGAATTGAAAGTTGGACTAAGGGTGAGGAAAGGCAGTATGTTAAGACTGGAAACTCATGTATTTTCAAAATGATCAAATTAAGGCACTGTATCCTGTAGTGCATGGAAATAGTCTCCTCTTGATCTGGCTGTTCAATTAAGAGAGTGCACTGGAGGCACTTTACTGGGTGCATTTCATGCCTCGGTAACTTTTTTAAAAAAAGAAAGCAAAGCCATAATCTGTTTTTTCTTCACATTGAATGCCCCTCTAAAAAGCATAAGCTGAAATTTAAAGATATTTACAGAAGCGTCATAAAGAAAAATAACCAAGTCTGCTGCCACCCAACTGACAGTTTTTTAAAGCTTAAGCAAGAAAATTATATGGCAAAGCCTGAAATGCCTGCCCCACCTCCAGGAGCACGCACACACACACACACAGACACACACGTGCAGTTCCAGCTCCTCAGATATAGTCAGCTGCAGGCCCACAAACCTCTTTCCTGGATATATTGTCACAGCCACTAAGCTAATGAGATCCCAACTGTCACCCTCAGTTTTTACATCTGTTTTTAGTGTTTTCATTCCAAGACTGTTGCCCAAAAGGCAGTGAAAGGCAAAATGCATAATATCAGCCTTCTTCCTCCTCCTCTTTGGAATAGTAGAGTCCCCATGTGGCAGCCTGGAACAAAGACCCTCTGCTCCCTGGAAAGGGAAGGCTCTGACTCAAGGAAGATGGCGGGGCTAGAGTCTCTGTGCCACTAGCAGCAGTTATTGATAAGTGACCATAGCAGCTAGGCAAGGGAAACAAAACTGTTAAACTCTCTAGAAAAATCCCGAGCTGCAAATCAAGTGCCAGAGCAGCAGCCGAGACACCTGAGGGCCTGCACTGATGGAGTAATTCAAAGTCAGAGCAGTGTGAGAAAGACGCTATTTCAAATTGAAGGAAAGGTAATCTTTCCAACTGGATAAAATGAAGGAAATGAGGCTTTAATGAATGTTGTCTAATAAGTCCCCAAACGTGAAGTATGTATAGATGCTCTGAGGAATCAGCAATCCACTGCAAAATTACCTTCAACCTGAGAGCAACAAACACGAGTCCCTAAATCATGACCAATTTGTTTTTATGACAAAAACAAAAATGCCCCTTTTTTTTGGCCAAGTCAGTGGAATTTTTCATAAAGAATTTTTAAACACTGGACGGAAATATGCTACTTCAGTGATTATGCTGAGGTGGGGGCTTAAAAAAGGTTAGACTGCATTTTCCATAACACACATGTACTTATTAGAAAAGGTAGTTTTTTAACTTCTTTTCAGAGCAGTAGGGAACAGGAAACAGGCACATTTTTTTAAAGGAGCAATAAATAGAAATGTTAAACTGCTCCACTGCACACACGCACACACACACACACAAGCACACAAATACATACATCACACATACACACACACACACACACACACACACGGAAATACCGACTAGTCCTTTCCATTCTGTCTTTATTTTAATGGGGAGCAATGATTACCTACCCAGGCGATTGTCTGCAAAACACCATGCTGGGTGACACTGCCACACTGCAATTTAGCCAGGGGCCAAACAGCCTGGCAAGGATGCTGGCATGAATTTTTCATGGATTACCCATGGCTAGCTTCTTACAGGATGTGCTGTGACATCAGGCTGAAGGCATGTCCAGCCAAGACAGTGAAGTGGGAGCTGTCAGGGGAGAGGTGAGAAGAGTATTATCCTCTCACCCACCCAAAATGAGCTGGTCAGAGGACCAGTCTCGGCCAAGAGCACTCAAACCAAATCTTGGTCCCTTCTCTACCTCTCACTTTAATAGATAAAACTGATTATGAATTATTGAACAACTATTAATAATCTAACAATTTAACAATTGATAACTACTATAACTAATAACTATTTAATAATTTAATAGTTCATAATAGACATCTGCAAATTATTCATAACTGTCAAGCATCCCAGGTAGATTCTTGGTGGTTTGTGAGTTTAAGAGGAAGAACTAATTCCATTTCCTATAAAAACCCCAAGTGTCAGGACTTGATTCCTCTTAACAAGATATCAACACAGAGAGACTGGCAGGCTATCAATTCTTGCCCCCTTTTCTTGACCAGAAAAGCTCTTAGAACTTTCCAGCAGCCATGCTGATGGGGAAACAAATAACTGTGGCCTTCCTGCAACAGTTCTCTTCTAGCTAACTCAATCTTTGATGCAACAGACTCTCCATATGTACACACTACTGATATCCTCCTGTGTGAAATGGGAGCTGTCAAAAATCTGGAACCAAATCTATACTCAGAATTAGTTGGCTCGATCCTTTTGTAGTTCACAAGCACGATGATTGAGTGCTCAAGCCCATGTGTGAGGCATGCCTCCCTCAAACCTTGTTACAATGTCGGCACAGCACCATCTGACATAAAAAGGAAAAAAAATTGGCCTAATTTCAAATCCTCCTGGTTTATGTTCAGTAACTAAATTACTCAATCACTTATGAACTAATGCTTGAGATTTTGAAACCATGGATTTATATTTTTCATATTTCCTTAAGTTCAATTTGATTATTTGTGAATGGACTCTTTCCTCTTTTTCTAAATTTATTATATTTTTCTCTAAAAACTGGAAGATATTACTTCTTAGATCTTTTAACCTGAGCTTAAGAATACTTGTGAAAGAATTATCTAAATTTTTATTGCATTTCTTTTTTTTTTTAGAGAGTCTTTCTCTGTTGCCCAGGTTGGAGTGCAGTGGTGGGATCTCGGCTCACTGCAGCCTCCGCTTCCCAGGTTCAAGTGATTCTCGTACCTCACCCTCCTAAGTAGCTGATTACAGGCATGCACCACCACACCTGGTTAATTTTTGTATTGTTTAGTAGACATGGCGTTTCGCTATGTTGGCCAGGCTGGTCTCAAACTCCTGGCCTCAAATGATCTACCTGCCTCAACCTCCCAATGTGCTGGGATTACAGGCATGAGCTACCACACTTGGCCCAAAATTTTATTACCTTAAATCTCAGATCTTAAATTTGAGTTCTCAAAATTAAGTGCATCAAAACAGCTGAAACATTCAAAAAACTAACTTCACACAAGACAAGATATTCATTTGTTGTATTAGTTTATAATTTCTTGAGTGCAAGAACATGTCTAATCTTTCTTACTTTTCTTAAAAATCATACTGACAAACAGATGGTCAGAATCGTTAAAAAAAATCTAACATAGAAATTTATGAATAAGTTCTAACTCTACCCTGTCCAATAGGGTAGCCACTATCACATATAATGGAATGGTTTGGATATTGGATATGTGAATCTACTTTTTCAACTGTAAATTTTATAAAATCTAGGTACAGATCAAGTACTTCTAATGAAAATTTAGCAATCCTATTGAGTATATAAAATATGCACAGAATTTCAAAGACTTAATCCAGATGAAAACAATATAAAATCTCATTCACAATTTTTTAACATTGGTTATGTATTGAAATGAAAATATTTTAGGTTGGATTAATTCAAATTAATTTCCACCTATTTCTTTTAATTTCTTAATGTAGCTATAAGAAAATGTTAATATGCGGCTCATGTTATAATTTTATTGGCCAGCACTGCTCTAGCTAGCTAAATATTGAGGGGTAATTAACAACAATAGCATATTATTCATTTATTGTCAACATGTATTAGTACATCTTTTGTAGCCATTGTAGGATTACAATGTTAATTAGTTTCCCACACTCCTTTCATTCTATGTCTAAATATTAAACAAATATGGGAACTGAATGGCTGATGGCTATCCTAAGAAACAAAGGTGATTTATTCTACTACTGCCAGTGGGCAGTAGTAAATGTCAGTCATTCCAATCACTCCCATACAACCTGGCTCTTGGCTGGGCACAGATACATAAAAGACAGCAACAGCATTGCTAAGGGGAATCAAGAGTTACACCCACATTAGCCATCTTAACCAAATACATAGCATTCACAAAGGGGGCCACTGAGTATGACATATGAAGACAAAATCCCAGTCTTACTGAGGGCCATGAAAAGGCCTTTTGCAAATGTTGTATTCTGGAGTACAGGTAGCATCTGAATTTTATTATAGACCCAGTCACCTCTATATTTCATCTCTATTTCCGGTTATTGAGAAATTCCCAGGTTCTTTTTTCTTACCCATCAGAAAGGTTATAGACATCATCAGGTATGTCCCCTTCTTCTCTTTGAGTCCCATTACACAAGATGGCACACCAGTACATCACACAACCCACCAGCCACCACTTCAGAAGCTTGCGGGGCTTTTATGCCTGTTTATTCATCTTGGCAAATATTTTTTAGGGTCTACCCTCTGTCAGGCTCTGTTTTAGGTACCGGTATGATGTGACAGAAAATAAGGAAAATACAGATCATTGACGCTTATACTGTTTCTGCATCTTTTTATGATTTCGCAGAACTCTGTCATTTCCTGAAAACAAATCAGTAGCATGTACTAGCTTTTTAATTACGTAATGTTTGAAATATGAAAGAAGATATAAAGAAAAATGCAATGAATAATCCTATTTCTTCCCACCTTGACCCCACTAAATTAATGTCCATTAGGTCTATGCACTTCCTTATGCTTTTACTACATAGCCACATATCCCTAAGCAATATATGGTTTGAAATGTTTTTAAATTGTATATTGATAGGGTTTGGCTGTGTTCCCTCCCAAATCTCAACTTGAAAATTGTATCTACCAGAATTCCCACGTTATGGGAGGGACCCAGGGGGAGGTAACTGAATCATGGAGGCCATTCTTTCCCGTGCTATTTTCATGAGTGAATTAAGTCTCATAAGATCTGATGGGTATACCAGGGGTTGCCACTGTTGCTTCTTCCTCCTCTTTTCTCTTGCGGCTGCCATGTAGGAAGTGCCTTTTGCTTCCTTGATTCTGAGGCTTCCCCAGCCATGTAGAACTGTAAGTCCAATTAAACCTCTTTTTCTTCCCAGTCTTGGGTATGTCTTTATCAGCAGCATGAAAATGGACAAATACATATATACATAAGTGTGTTTTGAATAGGTGTTTTTAAAAACTTACCAAAGGTTGAAATAAGCAACTGTCTCTGACTATATCAGAAACCTCACCAATTTACCAAGTTTGCTGATAAAAATATATTTTCCTTTTTACTCACCACCCAAGTGACATATAAATGAGTATAAATTTAAATATTGAATATGATTACATATGTGCATGTACATAGCAGACAGAGTTCACAGCTAGAAAAATAAAATAGAAGTTCAGTGTGTTCCATAATTATTAAAAATATTGAACTTGGAAATCACTTGCATACATGGGGGCATTTTTCTCAACTAAACTTTAAATTGGAATTTTTGAATGCTGCAAAACACAAAAAGGTTTACGATGAAACGTAAGCCTCCTCCTGTTCTCACCCACAAGCCTCTTGGTAACCTCCCCACAGGTAACCAATATAACTTCTTATGTATATATCCAGAAATATTATACACAGACAAGCAACCATGAATATATTAATATTTTCATCCTCTGTTTAATAGAAATGGTAGTACCTTGTTATTTTCATTTGATAGTATAGCTTATAGACCTTTTTATATTGATACATATAAGCTGCCTTGTTCTTTTTAATGGCCACATCCACTGTATAGGCGTGTCATGCTTGACTTAGCCTGTACCATTGATGAAGAGGTTGTTTCAAATAATTTGAAACAAACAGTGCTACTGGGAAGACTCCCTGTATGCATTTCACAATGTTCAAGAATATCCACAACACATACCCCTGGAAATGGAATTGTTGAGTCAGAGAGAGGTAGATAGAGATAACATATTTTGGTAGCTATTACAAAAGTGTCCTCCATAGAAGTTACACAATTTAACTCATACCAGACATTTATAAGAGCATCTTTTTCCTCCACCCCTTCACCAATGTAACACACTATGTGTTATGCTCATCAAACTACGTAATAAATGGTATCTCGATGAGGTTTTAATTTACAAATTTGTTTAAGTGCTTAACAAATCCTGAATTTTAAAAGGAATAAGCATAACTTAAAACAATACAGGCAAGGCATAGTGGCTTATACCTGTAATCCCAGCACTTTGGGAGGCCAAGGTGGGTGGATCACCAGAGCTCAGGAGTTTGAGACTAACCTGGGCAACATGGCAAGACACTGTCTCTACAGATAATACAAAAATTAGCCAGGCATGGTGGCATATGCCTGTAGTCCCAGCTACTTGAGAGGCTGAGGTAGGAGGATTGCTTAGACCCAGAAGGTCGAGGCTACAGTGGGCTGTGATTGTGCCACCACACTCCAACCTGAGCAATACAGTAAGATCCAGTCTCAAAAAAATAATAATAAAAAAATACAAGCGAAGAGATATAAGAAGCCTAAAGAATGAAACACTGAGTTTGTTAAAAGGAAGGTGCTATAAAATTCAAGGCATGACACTATCCCATAAAGAGGTTTATTAGTTTCATCTGGGCAATAAAGACAAATATCTACTTACAATATTGTCAACCTCAGATTGTTGACACACATACACGCCTTATAAAACACACATACACGCCTTATAAAAACTTAGGGTAGGTTCTCGCATATAGAGAGAACCACCCAGCGCTGGTCTGAAGTTCAACTACTTGGAAATATCAATACTATACATGAGTGGCTGATGTAGGCTACATAGCATTCCTAGACTTAACTGGTAAAAAAGATGAAGAAAAGAAAGGAAGGTGAAGGAAAAATTAAGGGTAAAAGAAAGTGGTTCTTTCCAATGTCACACACACCCTCATTGACCCCATGATTGCCCCGTCCTTCGGATCGACAGTGGGGGTGGATCCTGTGGATACCAAGATCAATGAATGTTCATGTCCCTGACATAGAATGGCATGATATTTTCATATAATTTGTGGACATCCTCACATAGACTTTAAATCATCTCTAGATTCCTTATAGTACTTAATATAATGTAAATGCTATGTATATTTATATTGTAGTATTGTTTACATTGTATATTATTTACATTGTATATTGTTTAGGGAATTATGAAAAGAAAAAAGTCTGTGCATGTACACTATAGAGACGATTTTTTCTATTTTTTACCCATGGTTTGTTGATTCCACAGATGCAGAACCCATCGATATGGAGGGCTAACTGTATTCTTGACATTTCCTAAGACCTGATCTTGAGTGTTCTCACCACAAAAAGTTGTAACTATGTAAGGTGATGAGTATGTTATCTTTATTGTGATAATCATTTCACCATATATACATATATCAAAACATTGCATTGTATGCTTCAAACACATATAATTTTTATTCTTTATACCTCAATAAAGCTGAAAAATTAATTACATAAGTAACCATAAAAAAATAAAAAAAGGGCCGGGCACAGTGGCTCAAGCCTGTAATCCCAGCACTTTGG